AATAAATAAAAATTAAATATTTGAAAAATGTGAAAAAAAAAATGAAAAAAAAACATTTTCGGTATCGGTCTGACAGTTTTTTTTATTTTGGTTTCGTTTCGTTTTTAAAATTTCCATTTCGGTGCACCTCTAATTAATATACATTTTCATGCATCATGTGTTTGGTTTGGCCAATGAGGGCTGATTTTCTGCAGTGTCATCATTGTTGTGAATTTAGGAAGAGTCTTCTTGTATTTCTTTGTCTTTCTATGTCTTGTGTTTCCTCTTCTGGATTGGGATGAATATGTTCCCTATTGCGGAAAAAAATGGTCTGCAAAGCATTTCCAGGCTCTTTCACTTCTTTAGAGTGATGGAGGGAGGGTCATACAGAAGGGGAAGGCTGCACAACTCCCTGATGAGAGCTTCTGTATCATACAGATTCTGCAGCAGCCATCTTGCTTGGAGCAGTGTGTGAACACATGGCAGGTATCCTGGGGAGAAGCTTGTCGCCAGGGGCTGGAAATGTATCAACGTGCACTATATGTGCATTTTCATGCTTTGCCATAGCCTTCTAAGAGAGTCAAAAAGCATAAAAATTCACAAAAAAACATACATAACAAATGTTCTAAAAGGCAACACAGTACATAGGTGTAAACTGGCTCCTTGGTTTAAATGTCTTCCTATGACGCATCCATTGTTGATTGCATGAAGTAATTGGGTCAATCATTTCCTATGCAAATGTGTGTGTGTGTGAGGGGGGTAAATGCGACATCTATTTACTGCCATGGCTGCCTTTGTGATATCCACTCTTATAAAATAAATTTTTATTATTAAGCTGGAAAATCTTTGACTGATTAAAGAACATTCTTCTTTCCTTACAAACAAAGGAAACAGTAATATTAGGTGGATGCAAACCCTCTTAAACTGCCATAAACCCCCATCCCTCCTTGATGTAACCTGCTTAAAAAGCAAAATATATCTCCTAAAATCCAATTTGCATTGGTGGTGTAGATATTTAGTATCTTAGAATGTTGAGATAAGGGGTGGCTTTACTGTTCAGATACAATTTCATTTTGTACATTGGATGTCCGTGTCCTTACCCACAGGAAACTTTGTGCTATAAATTGTTTTTTTGTAATTGTTACAGGCCCAAAAGGTCCATGGGGCATTTCCTTTGCCTGCTGTAGTGATTCTGGGATCAATAGATAAAAATAGGCAAAGATATATTACTGATTTCCTTTTTTTCTTCTATGGAAATCTCTTATGTAAGTATACAAAAGAGTAATTTACTTACTACATAACTGATTGTGTCCCTGCATTAGAGGTCTCGGTCACATGTCATTCATCAGTATGTTTTGTGTTTATACTGAAAGTAACTGAGAACCAGTTGTAAATGCATTCCCGGTTCCAGGATTTCCAAGTCATATCAGAATAAATGTTTACTCATACCAGCAATAAAATACATGCTGATTTATTAACTATATATGCAGGCTGGACACGTAGCTTTGTAAATGTTTAAACTTTAATAACTTTGCATATACACATAACAGAAGCACACTGTAAAGAGCATATAAAAGCTTAAAGTGATATTAAAGTCGAAATGTTTCTATGCTATTTCAAATGCTGATTAAATCACTATGCTCCTTGATGTTTAAAACAGCTGCACAAACAGCTGGTCCCCTGATCTCTGGCCCTGATATCCTGTTTTTAGGGTGGCTCCTTTCCATTGCAGGGTCCTATAGAGCCACTCTTGTGGCAAGCAAGGCAAGCCAATCCCCAGCTACCTGCTCCTTCCTTCTTCAAACTAGAATATGGGGAACTGATGGAGACTGAGCTGTCCCTTGCGATCTTGTACTAGGCAGGAGGTTCAGAGAAGCAGAGCTGAGAGAGCTGGAGCTGGCTGTTTGGAAACATGATGATTATAAGTGCATGGGCACAATTCTAAAGAAATACTTTGCTGGGGAATGTATATTTATTTGGTCTAGATTCATCATTGAAGAAAGATTGAGAGGTTATCTGTAATGTCTAGGTTTATTTTATTCAGCCTCTTATATCATAAAAAGCCAAAGTGTTTGGGGGAGGGGGGACTTGCTTATGTTAAACACAGCTTGTACTAGACTGATGGAATTAGACATCTGTAATATCTTGCTAGCTCTCAAAGCTGCAAATTGGCATTGTATGCTGTTATTAAGTCTAGAATCTACCAAAACAACCAGATAATTGATTATGGACTTTCCCAGTTGTACTCCCAGTTGCACTCCCCCTAGTATATATGATGATATGATGTGTTTAGCCCCCTGCGTACATAAGTTTACTTTATTAACATAACAGGTCTGTTCACAAAAGGGTGAAGGGTTTGGAGGAGGCAGGGTAAGTGACCAATCTAGGCCAAAATAGCTGATTTGGAAAAATTCTCCAATTCAGTTCACTTTCCAGTCCAGCTATGTTGTCCTAGATTGTTCACTTCTCCTGTCTTCTCCAAACTCTTCACCTTTTTGTGAACAACCCGATATCTTATTTGCCATATACCTTCATTGCCCAGGCAAACAGTTCAGTGAGGCTTACACTGCCCACTTTCACTATATAGCTTGGCGTTATCTGCAAACGCATAAATGGTTGGCACTTTTAGTCCCAAACTCTGTAACTTTTATAAACACGTTAAAAAGTAATGCCTTGTTCACGTGGATGGCAAGGGGGCAGTAAAACCGGGGTGGCTGTGTTGCGCTGTCAGCACTGTGGCCGAACACAGCTGGTACATTGACATGGCCTGACTGCTTTGTGTCGCAGCAAAAAATATACACCATGTTGTGTTTGGCAGGTGGTGGCGCTTGCCAAACGTGACCATTGTAGTGAATGAGACCTACACAGAAAGCCCCATTGGGATAAAAAAAAATAGCAATCGGGGGGTGGCAACATTTCTTCCTGAATGCAGGGCATCCGCTGCTCCACCACCCTCTGAAAAGCGATCCACAGTGTAGCCTTGGGGTACACTACTAACAAACTTAGACGATTCAGAGTATAAAATATTAACTACCTTGAAGGTTTATATTTGGTTTTATGATGTGTTAGGCAGAGATAGAGGTGAAGATACACTTCACAGGTTTCAAGAAATGTATGCCCATTGACCCTGTGAGGTGCTGTCTGCTTTGTTGCTACAGGGCACAAAAAAAAAACTAAGGCACACTAATGACTAATTTTAGTTGTTTTCAGGAATTTTGCACAATCTCTCTCTCTCTCTCTCTCTCCTCTCTCTCTCTCGCGCTCTCTCTCTCTCTCTTGCTCTCTCTCTCTGTCTCCCTTGCTCTCTCTGTCTAGGTCTCATGCCTCATCACCTAAAAAGCTGTAGTGAAACTTGAGTATCCCCTATACATTTTAATATACACATACATCAACCCGGCCCACGTCTTTTCCTGTAATTTGGGGGCAGTTAAGAAAAAGATGGTGATGGCTCTCAGCAAGAGATATATTTCTCTAAAAACTGTAAACACACTTTGTACAGTAACTCTGTGAATTATGTCTTGGCATTTATTGTGCAGCACAGTGCTCGGGCCCCTTAGCTTTACCTTGTTAGGTTCAGATACAGACAATGATAAACTGCTGCTGATAAACATACACAGTGATCTTTAAGGCATATGGATCTTTATTCAGTATGTGTTATATAGTCAGGACTTACCCTAAAAAAATGTTTTTGATTTTTAAGTATGAAATATTGCATTTAAATATTATAAATTACAGCAGTTAGGTGGGACTCTCCTGTGTTTTATCTTGGCTCCTATGTTTCTTCTTATTTTTTCACTTGGTGATCCTGTCAGTAACACACTTTTAGTCTGTGTGCATACAGGGACAATCATCTGTCCCTATGCAAGGTTGTCGGTGGATGTCCTATTACAGCTGCGGCCGCCGTTGGCCTGCCATTTGCCTTGTACAAGCAACTATTTGTACACACCATTGATTCCAGCCGTGAGAATCCACTGATTCTTGCCACCGGAATTTGCAGTGCTGCCCTATTTGCAAGTGTGAATGGGGCCTAAATCAACTACTTCAGTCTATATATCAAAGTGCTGGTAGACGGCAGAGATATTGAAAAGCAAGTACTCCATATTTGATACAGAGCCTGTTTGATGGCTTGAAACATTGCTTTGTAAAATAGAGAATTTTACCCATTAAAGTGGAAGTAAAATGCTGTGCAAATGTTCCTTTTTTTTCCCCTAATGTGTAAGCACAACATACTTACACATAAGAGCACACTTACCTTAAAAGTGTGCCCTTCTCTAGTGCTGTCAGGTTGATTTTCAGTCCCCAGCTCTGTCCCCAATGCTGCCATCTCCACCACCACTACTTCTGTATTCCCATGCATCCTCTACGGCCATTGGTTGGCCACTTATGATGGAATTCCTGTGCATGCCCCTGGCACCCGGCCCATTCACGGCATCGTAGCGATCCTGTGAGTGTGTGTAGTGCAAAATGCATACGCTGTACATTACACGCAAAAAAAAAAAATTCCAGGGGGAAGAGGGGAAGAATATTTTTGTCAGAAGGGACTTGTGCATGTCTTTTCTTCAAATAATACCTACCCTTCAGCTTTTTTTTTAGTTTACTGACTTTACCCCTGCTTTAACTTTCTGCCGTCTACTTGAACGTTGATGAAGAGCCATATCGACTGTAGTATCTAAGTTTACAAGTCCTTTGTGCAGGCGACTTTTGGAACACTGGATTTTTACAGTCAATGGCAGGGTCTATTTAAGGAACGGCAAGTAACAATAGCTTTGTACAGAAGACAGGGTCTCTTTAAGGAACGGTAAGTAACAATAGCTTTGTGCAGAAAATAAATTATGTTGTTTTAGTGATGCTGGATCATTACTTGACTAATTTTCTTGTTTTCATTGAGTTTTTAACAGTCAAATTATTACTGAACTCTTCAGAGCTGCAATGAAATCATGGATAGGGAGAAGTGTTAGACTGTGCTGATGGTACTTACAGTAAGAACAGTGTATTTAATGTTTCCACTTTATGTCTGTTAGGTCCGATCCCCGAAGCTCCATGTCGGCTGTCACCTGTTACAGAATCTCACCCTGTCCAAGCCTTGCTGGAAAGCTACACTGTTTTATCTGGCTGCGCAAGCAAAGGAACAATAAGTTATCCCCAAGAGGTCCATATCATAAATCTGAAATGTGTAGAGGAAGACCCCTGTCAAAGTGAAAAAGAGGTATGTATGATTTACAGTATAATCTGTTCAGCAATGTTTCCTGGAAGCACAATATTATACCTTGTTCTATTGTTTTAGGCTGCCATTACTATCACTGCCGGTGATCCTGTCACTGATAGAACATCCTGCAGGGTTTACACAAAAATTCTTCACACAGGACAGCTGAAACCAAGTTAAAGGAGAATTCACACAATTCCTTCTCTTTTGTAGTTGTGTAATATATGGAAAAAAGACATATCACCAGTAGAAAGAAACCTTTAGGCTTTGTGACATGACATGATCTACAGTCCTTTGCAAATGAACCAGCTGCAGGTTGCCCAATGGCAAACATACATTTGTAGGCCTCATTCGCACTGGCACTCACTTACTTTTCTCAATGCAGGAGAAGGTATCTGGAAAGTATAAACAACTTTTATGCTTTCTAGGTATTTTTCCTGCATATCAATGTTCCTGCATTGAAATGGATTTAGCTGGCTTTGGGCAAATTCATATGCATTCAGCCATGTTCAGAAGTTCTGTTCAGTTCCTAGACGCACCCGACTTTAAAGTGACACTAAACTGAGGAGTTAAATCTTAAAAATACATTCAAGTACCTTAACTATTAACAAAAATGTCGTTAATTTGTCTATTACTCAGCTGTAGATCCTCAAATCATCTCTGAATTTGTGCTGACATTGTCGTTCCTGCTGGAGGGTGGCTACTTTTGTTCCCTATGATACCTGTGTGTGTTGTAAAGTAGCCAACCCACCAATCTCGCTCCCGTGATGCACTACAATCACACATTTACTTTACTAATTTGTAGGGTTGCACAGATACCAAGTACAGTACGCGGTACAAGTACGAGTACATGAACTGATACTTTTTGAGCTTCAAGACTAGACTAGAGAAAAATTCAAAAATTAGGAGGCCGCTGTCATTTGTAAGGAGCACACGGAGCTCCTGGGATTTGTACATCTCTGTTTTAATATACGATTTTGTTTTTATAAATATAAATAAAGGGATGCACAGATACCAGTTTTGTGAGTACTTGCCGAGTACTTACAAGTACGAGTACTGATACATTTTGGTTTATTGTCATGTGACAGTTTTTCTAAAACAATACAGACTAATGATTTCAGGACAGTGGTGGAGTGCCAGAGCCAGGTCCCAGCTGCAACCTCTGCAACCCTGGTACTTCTCATTAAAATGCTGAGTATCTGCACTGGTACTCGCAAAGTATCTGTGCATCCCTACTAATTTGTATTGAGATAGAGTTGAGTGTAGTACATCTCAGGAGGGAGCTTGGAGTAGTGGTTACTTTACAACACACACAGGGAATATGGGCCACCCTCCAGAAGGAAGGACAGTGTCAGCACCAACTCAGAGATGATTTGAGGATCTAGAGCTGAGTGATGTACAAATAAGTGACATTTTTGTTAAAGGAGAACTATGGGGTTAAGGCTTTTCCCCATAGTTCCCCTTAGGGTGACGGGAGGACACAAACTAGCGTCCTCCCGTCACCCTAGGCTCAGTATACTGCGACTGTTCCGCCAGTCAGCCCCCCCCCTTTCACGGCAGAGAGCCGTGACAGGATCGAGAGGTGAGCGAACGCTGGTATGGTGTTTGCTCACCTCCCGATCTACTAAGCCGATCTGTGACAGTCTCATTGTCACAGGTCGGCTAGAACTATGAGGTGAGTGAAAAGCACTCACCTCATAGTTCTCCTTTAATAGTTCAGGTACTTGAATGCATTTTTAATATTTAACTCCTTTTATGTTACTTTATAGCTCCACTCACATGGGTCGATTCCTGTAGCAGGAATCCCAGGTGTCATGTTGAGATGTGGCCACTGTACACATTGAAGTAAATGACAGGGTGACAGCGCATGTATCTGTAAGTCCGCATGTAATCATACATGGTACTTTACATGCAGTTTGGAATAGATGAATGTGACTGGATGCATCTTTCCTGCTGAGCAGCTGAGCATTGTTAAAGGAGAACTATGAGGTGAGTGCTTTTCACTCACCTCATAGTTCTAGCCGACCTGTGACAATGAGACTGTCACAGGTCGGCTCAGTAGATCGGGAGGTGAGCGAACACATACCGGGTTCGCTCGCCTCTCGATCCTGTCACGGCTCTCTGCCGTGACAGGGGAGGGGCTGGATTCCCCTCTCCCCGCTCCGATCTGCCAGCGCTGACTGGCGGAACGGACGGGGGAGGGGGCGGGTACAGCTGGCTCTGCCTCTAGATAGGCAGAGCCAGCTGTCACTCACGCAGCTGGGCGGATCCCGTCATCTACGTCGGGATCCGCTCCGGCTGCGGCGTCTCAGTATACCGCGAGCTGTAGCTCGCGGTATACTGAGCTTAGGGTAATGGGAGGACGCTAGTTTGTGTCCTCCCGTTACCCTAAGTAGAACTATGGGGAAAAACACTGACCCCATAGTTCTCCTTTAATAATACCCAAGTCTAATTGATAAAGCTTTGTAGAAAGCAGTGATAATTTGCTAAGTGCAGTAGCCCATAGGAGCCAATCAGTTCAAGTATATAATTTATTGCCCAGAAAAGTAGAATACGGTTTGCAGTAATTATGACATAACATTATGCAGAGAAAATAAATAGGTACAGTTACATATAAAATTGTTGCTATTATCAGAATTATTTGATGGGAGTAGTTTCTCTTTAACTGTACTTCATTTTTGCTGAGACCGCGATGTAAGTGAATGTGTTGCAAATTATCATTTGATTCTCCAGGCTGCATGCCATGATTGCTATAAACAAATATTTAAGTTCAAATTCTTTCACCCTTGCGATGCATAGTTAAGTTATATCATATGGGGATCGCATTTTTGTCTCTTCTCTTGCTGACCGCAGCATTTTCACTGTAGAGAATAATTGCTCATTTAAACAAGGTTCACTAAGGGAGGGCAGCATGGAATTTTATTATAGCTGCCACAGACTGTTGACTGCTTGACATTACCCCCATTTAAATCTTGATTGTCATTAACAGTGCAGAAAACTCTGCTAGGTACATAAATCATGGTAATAATATGCACTACCAGGGAGTGCCAAAGCAAAGATCCGTATTTGTACAACCTTCACAAAGGTGACATCTTCAAGGTTTGCTTTTGCTAGCAGTCAAGATCAGTGCTGCACACCATGTTTTTTAAAACCCTATGGAGAGAGAGATCTTTTAGGAACAGATAGATGTGTTTTTGTACTGTCTGAGGCTTTGTATGTGGCAAAGAAACTATTTATGCTACTTTCTAGTATTTCATTCATGTTGGAGGAAAGTACTAAATGAACTCCTTTTTACCAAAATAGACATTTTCTGTCTGTATGAATGCCAATTGAATTCCATATATTCCATGGGTGGCACACCTCATATAAGCATCCCGCTCTAGAATAGCTCACAAAAGTAGTAGTATGTGAAATGTCATGTTTGCAAGTCTCATGAATGTCAAAAAGGGGAGTTATAAGCTAAAGAGCTTTTCTTTCTCTTTTCTGCATTACAGGTGCTCTCTGATTTCATGGGATTAAAACGTATATTAATGTCTATGCATAGCCATAGTTTTGGATAGAGTAGAGAAGTGTTAGAGCCTGTCAGTGTCCCATTGGCAAGATTTCCCTTACCTCTTGTTCCGGTGACGACTCTAAAATGTAGGATGCAACAGGAAGTAAGAATTCCCCCTTTTAGACAGTTGACGCCAAAAGAGATGTCCGCATTGAAAGATTTACACTTTACCTTTTGTTTTGGTGACAACTCTAAAATGTAGGATTTCTTTCTCTGTGACAATGGTCACCAGGACAAATAGAGGGATACAGGGAGACAGCAATAAAAACCTGGCAGAGGTTCTAAACCTTTCCTACTCTAAAGAAAACCAAAAACAAGTTTTGCCTTTACATAAACGTTAATTTAAAAAATACAATACACACAGTTGCAGTGTTTTTTGGTCACTTGCATTCCTGTTTGAGTTTTTGAGTTGGAACATGGCCAGTGATTAATTAAAGATGATAATTAGTCTTAGTATAACCAATCACTTGATCATGTTATTAGCATAGGACCAACAGTCATTTGTTATAAGATGCTAGTGTCCAGAATTATCTCTTCCTGCGCTGATCAGGGTATTCTTTTTCTGCACTATAGCAGCATTCATTAGGCATCATAAACCCCCAACCTCTTCCCTTTCCTCGTAATACAATACTTTGCAAAAGACTGCTAAATTGTTCCGGAAACCCAAGAAATTGATGGGTGGCAACAGTGAAAAACAAGATGACAAACAACCAAAGCAGGATCACAATTGTACTTTTGGGATATGCCGTTTTAAACAAAGCAAATCAAATGTTATCATTCTGATCCTTGCAAAAGTTAACGCTCTCCCTGACCTTTTGGCTTGGACTGAAATCAATCCCACTTCATGTTGAAAACAGATAAGTGGTTTCCTGATGTCTGCTGGCTCTAGTAAGCTTGGACACTCATGTGTTTACAGCAAAATACCTTGATCTATTTGTAGACTGAAAATTGACTCGTGGATACTGGTCACAGTATATGCTCTTTATTTGCCAAGTGCCAGCAGATACGAAGTGCTGCATTGTTAAAACAAGATATTATTTAAATTTGTTGAAATCTGATCAGCAAGGGGTTCCATCCGTATTGAGCTATTAGTCAATCGTCCTACAAATTATGAGGAAAATTAACAAGTGGTGTAGTTCCAAAAGACAGTCTTTAGTTGCCCAGCTGCTGGGGAACAACAAACCCCCAGCATACCTTGCCAACCTTCTAGAACTTGAATATCTCTAAAGGTCATAGAGCCACAGCTTCTTAAACCTTCTGTAAACCCACATCAGGTCACCTAATTTATTTCACCTACAAAAGCGTGACATTCAAAGCACATTCTTTCTATTTGCACATATGACCAAATCTCATAGATCTAAGTTATTTCACTCTGGACCTTCCGGTTGTGCAGGAAACAAAAGAAATTGAACATAATAAAAGTGTATTAGTGTGAACGAGCTACAAAATC